CTTTCTTTCTTTCTTTCTTTCTTTCTTTCTTTCTTTCTTTCTTTCTTATGCATTCACAAATGTCTTCCTGTTCACCTGTGCGTAGATCCCTGCATGTGTAAGGATGTGTGTGTTGAGGGGAGTGGAGGTTTGAGGTTGATTTCTGGTGTCTTCCTTGATGGCTCACTACCTTACACATTAAGGTGGTCTCTCCCTCGAACCCAGAACTCCCCAGTAGAATGAGCCCCTCCATCTTGCTCTGAGGGCACACACTGCCCCCATATTTCCTTTCCAAGAGCCAGAATTCCAGGAGAGCTGCCATTCCCCCTGGCGTTGACAGGGTATGGGGACCTGAACCCCGGTCTCAGGCTTGATGCTGGCATGGCAGGCATTTCAGCCGTTGAGCATCTCTGGGCGCCGCCGCTCCTGTGATTTCTCAGTGCCTTGCTCTAGTGTGCCATCGGTCTCAAGTGTGTGTCACATCAGTGGAATCAGTGCAGAAAAGAATTGACTCCCCTGCAAGGGTGGAGAGCACAATGTACACAAGAGACTTCCAGTCACAATTACCCACCTCTAGACACCGGCTTAGCGAGCGAGGGGAGATCTCGTGTGCGTGGGCGTGGGTGTGGGTGTGGTTTGCATATGTTCATGTAGATGTGTTCACATGTGCATGTTCCTGTAGAGGGCAGAAGTTGGCATCAGATCTTTTCTTCAAGCTTTATACACTTTTTTTTTGGGGGGGGGGGATTTTTGAGACAGGATTTCTTTGTGTAGCCCTGGCTGTCCTGGAACTTAACTCTGCAGACCAGGCTGGCCTAGAACTCGGAGATCTGCCTGCCTCTACCTCCCGAGCGCTCAGATTAGAGGCGTGCGCCACCATCACCTGGCTACACATAATTTTTTTAAAGACTCATTTATCTTTATTTTATGGGTGTGACTGTTTTGCCTGTGTGTGTGTGCGTGCGTGCGCGCGTGCTCGAGCACATCGTGTGTGAGCAGTGCCCATAGAAATCAGAACAAGACAATAGATCGCCTGGAGCTGGAACCAAATTCAGGTCCTTTGCAAGGTCAGGAAGTGCTCTGAACTGCTGGTGCATCTCTTTTATTCAAGCCACAGAAGCCATGTAAAGATGGGCACAGTCACACATGTTTGCAACCCCAGTGCTCCTGTTGTGAGACACGAGAATCCTCGGAAGCTCACAGGCCTGGAATAATCGGTGGTGAGTGAGAGAAAAGCCTGTCTTTAACAAGCTGGGAGACAAGGATTGGCACTGGAGGGTGCCCTCTGACCTCCACACTTGCCATGGCCTGCATGCACCTGACTTTGTACACATTAGCCTGTACATACACACACACACACACACACACACACACATCACATGCACAGATATTTAAAAATCGACTTCACTAAAGTATAAGTATTATCTGTCCCAAAAAAGTGCTTACTTTCTTTTGGCAATGTTTGCAAATTTTGTATGATCGCTGTGATGATTAGCTCTAATTGTCAAATCTACATCAGCCAGAGTCGCCTGGGAAGAGTCTCAGTGAGGGACTGTTTCCGTTGGGTTGGCTTGTGAGCATGCCTGTGGGAGACTGTCTTAATTAAATTAATTGATGTGGGAAGACCCAGCCCTTTGTGAGAGGCAGCACTCCCTAGGCAGCACATTCTGAGCCATATAAGAATGAGGGGAAAAAAGCAAATAAAAACATCTGAGCACCACAGAGAGCCTCTGAAAGTATCAAAGCAGATACTAAGACTCATAACCAAACCTTCGGCAGAGTGCAGGGAATCATATGAAAGAAGAGGGAGTTAGTAAGACCTGGAGAGGACAGGAGCTCCACAAGGACCAAATATATCAGGGCACAGGGGTCTTTCATGAGACTGTTTCTCCAACCAAGGACCATGTATGGTTATAACCTAGAAGCCCTGCTCGGATATAGCCCATGGTAGTTCAGTATCCAAATGGATTCTCTAATAAGGGGAAATAATTCTCTAATAAGGGGAACAGGGACTATTTCTGACATGAACTCAATGGCGAGCTCTTCAACCCCCCTCCCACCCCCAAGGGAGGAGCAGCCTTGCTAGGCCACAGAAGAGGACATTGCAGCCAGTGCTGAAGAGACCTGATAAGTTAGGGACAGATGGAAGGGGAGGAGGTCCTTCCCTATTAGTGGACTTGGAAAGGGGCAGGGAGAAGATGAGGAAGGGAGGGTGGGATTGGGAGGGAATGAGGGAGGGGGCTATGGCTGGGATACAAAGCAAATAACCTGTGATTAATATAAAAAAATTAATAAAAAGAAAAAAGAAACATCTAGAAAAAAAATCTGAGCATAAGCAAGTAAACAACTAAGCAGGCATGCGTTGGTTTCTCTCTGCTGTTGACTGCAGATGTATGCGCCTGTGCTGGTTTCTCTCTGCTGTTGACGCAGATGTGTGGGACTGGACGTTTGAAGTTTCTTTGGCTTTCCTGCTATCAGCATCTGTAAGCTGGAGCTGTGGACGAACCGAGTCCTTTCTCCTGTAAGCTGCTATTTGCCCCGGTAGTTTATCACTGCAAAAGAAAACCATGGAGAGCTGAGAAAGCCATGTAGTTACCACTTCGGCATGTCAGGGAACAGGCAGTCCAAGCCAAAACCTGTTTCAGGATAGCCGATCACACTGTGACCCCTGAGATTGTGTTCCTTACTGGAAGAACCTGTTTCTAGTTGTGGTGTGGCTCAGCCTTAGCACATACCTTTAATCAGTCCAAAAGCTTTCTGTGTGAATACTTAAACCTCAGGATTAAATAAAGTCAACCATAGGTCAAGAGGCAGAGCAAGCGACCAGATGGCAGGAAGTGAGAATAGGATTATTAACAAAAAAAAAAAAAAAAAAACAAAAAAACAAAAAACAAAACAAAAAAAAAAAACATAGGTGGAGGAAGTCAGTGGGATGACTAGAGAGATGCCCAGGGACTAGAAGGGAGGGGCTTTCAGTGTGAAGGAAGCTGTTCCAGGGAGATTCTTTGGGACGTTGGCTGAGGAGAAAAGTCAGCTGGGTGCTTTCTCTGCCTCTCTGAGCTAGCAGGCTGTAACCACAGCATCTGGCTCCTGAGTCTTTACTGATAAAATAGAACAATTGAGATTTTGTTTAAAACATTTGTTGCTCCAACACATGGCATGATCACACGGACAGATAATCACACCAGCTTTGGACAAATGAGAAGCCATCAGATTTGGTAAGGCACCTGGGAAGTCCTCAATGAAACAGTTTTTTGCATATTACAACATAAAGCATATTACAGGCATAGCGCACAATCTACAGGACAAGAAGTTATAGAAAGATCTAATCACACTTTAAAAGACATCCTTAAAAACAGTAAGGGTAAT